CGTTCCATGTCAAATTAACGGATTATGCAAAAAATTGGCATGTCTAATATTTAGATCTACCAAATGATATCCTATCACATGATCCGATAACGACCCGACTCATCAATGGATTCTTAACGATTAACCTGATAACGACCGACTCGTTAACAGGTTGACCCTAAACATGTTACTTTCATGTTGCATCTGCTGATTAACAAGTTGTGCAATAAATTGTTAGGCCTATCTCAACCTGTTAGAATTTATCTTCCAATGAATGCATCACCCAACTTATTTGTTACTGATGTTACTATTGTACGATCAAGCTTTAATATCCACCTAAAACTAAAACACAAGCTCTAAACTATAGAGTAATGGAATTAAAGAAATCATTTTTTCAACTTTTTTTCCGTACAAAGATTTTAGATATTCAATAGAAGAGAAAAGCAAACACCGAACTTCGAATACAAAGTCGAATCTTCTTAACCAATTGCGTTACAAATAATATCTTATGAAAAATATAAGAATATATTTGCATATTCTCTTTTATATAATATCTCATTCCTTCTGATCTATATAACGAATAGTGCAGCAATTGTGTCGAAATACGTAACACTCTTAACACCACACAGCCAATATCTTCAATCTTTTTCCTTCGTGATCATAAATTACAAAATGCAAACGGTTTATGGCTTTCTTTCTTTGTAGATGTTTTGTTTTTGGTGGTGGGGGACTTGGGGGTTGATGAAAAAAATCAACTCCTTTTCTTTCTAGATTCTTCTAAATGCAGCCCAAGACAGGGGCGGAGCCACCAAGGGACTAGGGTAGTCCCCAGCCCATCCTGACTTCATCTGAGGTGTGAACCTTATGGAAGAAGATGAAGCAAACGATGTCGTTAAACTATTTTGATTTTAAATCTTTTCGGATATCTAATGAAACGATAAGTTTGGCAGAGGAGTTTTAAAAGAGATGTGCAATTTTAAATAGAAAAAGCAACCCCACTTCTGGTTCGATTCTCTCACCTAACAGTAATATACACCCTATAATTTTATAAAGCAACCCACCTTCTTTATTTGCAGACCTCTCCCCCTTTTCCTTCTTTTTCTACTTCTTTGTATTTTCTTTAGCCTTCCACAACCTACCTCTTACTTGGTTGTCTGGGTTTTTACGTTTTTTTTCTTTTTAGTGTTGAATTTAAGAGATTTTTTTTTCAGTTTTGTGAGGATTACACAAATTGCATATGTCAACATGTTATGAATTCAACTTTTTACATACACACACACATATTTGTGAAAAGCCCCTCCTTTTTCAGAATTCTGGCTCCGCCACTAGCCCAAGAGATCATATCATTCAATCCATCCAAGGGGAACAAAATCCTTTAGTAATCATGCATGCAACTCATGAGAATTTTCATTTTTTTTTTGGGCTTTTTATCTAAAATAGTCATGATATTGGTACAGTTCCTCAATTTGGTATTTAAGATTTGGGAATCAATATAAATGGTTTCTGAATTTATCTCCCATTGTGACTTTATGACTTCTGACATAAAACCACGTCTAGTTTTCTGGTTGTTGCCGGAAAGTCACGTGTTGTTTGGCTGATGAGCCTGGGCCCATACTCGATGCCAACTATTTGCACGTGAATGTTGGAGTGGTGGCCAAGTCACGGCAGTCTAAGTTTCAAGGGTCGGAAAAACTTATAGAGACATCTCAACCTTCCTCTGACTACCATTGTGTGATTCATCTACACCATGTAACTTATGAGATATTAATCAATATTGAAACAACGTTGACTATTTATATTATTTGTAGGTAAGTACATAGTTTAGAGTTGGTCAACTTTCATTTGACCAGCATGCGTTTTAGAATTATCATCCATGCATTTAGAGCCAGAAATTGGTTATGACTGTATATATCCGTTGTGAGCCACAAATGGGTATGGAAATTGATCGAAAAGGAAATTTGGTCAATTCCAAGTTGTCTTTTATTCTTATGTGAAAAATATCTGACAGGATAAACAACTTCTCGAATCCGGATCATGTCAGATCTATTTTGTGAGAATCTCAAGAATTTATAAATTATGTTCGTTCAGCGTATATCGTGTGGTAGAAATTATTTTATTTTATATTTAAAATTAAATACAAATAATATTTGATAAAAACTGATTACACGATATACGATGAACGAATATGATTCACAGATCATCCGAATTCTCACAAAGAGTATCCTGAGAGAATGCTGTTGGCAACTTCTCTAGAGGTATAATCCGGTTTCGAAAGAGGTATATTCCGGTTTGGATATTCCGAAAATCGATAAAAGGTAAAGTTGAGGGGAAGAGATTGAAATCTAGCTGTACTATTGTTACTTTGAACGTATTATATAATATTATGATTTTTATTTTAAATACTATTACTTTGACGTCGGATTGCATGCAATGAAGATTCCCACGAGGTTGAGAGTCGACACATGTACACATATGGCCCTCATGAGGTGATCAAGAATCACATAGATATGTGGCATACATTTTTTTTTAGGTTGAGAGTCGACACATGTACACACATGTACACACATGGTCCTCACAAGGTGATCAAGAATCACATAGAAATTTGGCATACATTTTTAAAGTTCTCCCCTCAATTTAATCTCTTTTTTTTTCCCTAATTGTACCAAAGAAAGTGTTGATAAAGAGTTCTTGGGAGTCAACGGACTGTTATCCTCGACTAGCCTTTAATCCTTCGAGTTCTCAAGAGCCCTTCCACACACACGAGACTTCCGGATTACTACGCTGACTTTCATTTACATTCGTTCAAAAAGTTTCACAATCAGTAACAGAGTTAGAATTTTATGTGTGGATACATAAGTAATTTAAACTTAAAATAAGAGAGAGAGTGGAGTAATTTGCATGAAAGACCTTAAGTTCAATAGAGAAAACTATAAAGACATTGTAAAAAACCCATAAATTCGAATATGAGGTAAAAAGTAAGCAAGAAATTTTTTAAAATATAAGTTCAAGCTAAAAAAAAAACATTTGATATAATAAGGACGATAAGCGAAGGCTGCACCCCAAAAAGAGGGATGAAGAGGAAAATGAGGTCTGGCTTGGAGTATAAAATAGTTTGAATTGATAACACACTTGAATTTTAAAGGTATTAGACTGATACAGCTAGACCGGTAAGCGGGTAGGGTTTACTGGGTTTGAATCGGGTTGAACCTGACCCATTAATTTAACGAGTCATCTGAACTCAACCCGTTAAGCTAACGAATCATCCGAACCCAACCCGTTAAACTAACGGGTCACCCATTTCAACCTGTTAACCTTTGTTTTTTTTTTAAACATTTCATCCAAATCAATTACAGCCCCATTTTATTTATAAAAACAAATTGTCAAACCAATGGCAGCTAATCCTCAATGCATAACAAAAGTAATGCTTACAATCAGTAAACTAATTCCAATCTAATTCCAATCTGCATTCCAGCAAGAATTGAAGGATTAAAAATAATGCTAACCGTAACATTGAGAATTAAGAATTGAGAATAATCAGTAAACTAATTATGAGCTAGCAATCAGTAAACTAGAAATAGCACCGAATCTAACGACATGGAAGAAGAGGTGGAAGGGAATCGGGTAAACTGCAATGCGAGACAGAGCGCACAAAACTGCAAGTCTGCAATGCGGGTAAACTGCAAGTCTGCAATGCTTATAATTGACTACTGAAATTACACAAAAACCCTCAATAACGGGTGTAACGGATGGTTAACGGGTTTCGCGGGTTCACCCAAAATGACCCGTTATTTAACGAGTTGACCCGTTAACCACCCGACCTGTTAAACACTCACCCGAATACTCATTTTAATTGGTCGGGTCGGGTTTGAAATGACAGGTCTATATGCAGCAACATCATTTGTTAGAGTAGCAAGAAAATAAAAAGGCATGATGGGAATGACACGCAACAGCAAGCTTACACTAACACACTCAACGTTAAAATCTTAGTTGAAATTTCACACATCTATTTTTATCTCCTTACACAATTTTGTTTATTTATTAATTAAATAAAAAATTAAAATTAAAGAACATAAATAAGCATGATTATGTAAAATATACTAGTATGCAGAATTCATTTCCATTTAAATATTGTCAAGTTAGAACGAGTTTAGTTGAGCAAATTGCACCATTAGTCAGAGGGATATCAAATTTATTCTATCCCCGATACCCTCTAGCTAGATCTTATTTCTTAGGTCCTTGGTCCCCATGCATGCTTAAATCTTTTGCCCTTTGTGCGACTTAAAAAGAATAAAGAGATAAAAAGCTTAAGACAACCACATACACAGAGGATACCTTCCAGTCCAAAGCGAGTGGGAGACTAATACTATTCTACAATATATATATATATATGTTGAATTTGGATCCTCCATAGACCTTAGTGTCCAAAGCTTAAGAACCAAAAAATTAAGATTCTTAATTTGTGTGAAAGAGAAATCGGAGCTTTTAATTTGTGTGAGGTAAACTAACGAAATGAGTTAATGAAAATTTGCCGAATTCAATTTAAATAGTCTAGATTACCCTGTCCTTAAGCTCGAGACACTGAAATCAGAATGGATCCCTATCCTTATATATCTACATCCCTCACATGCATAATTGAAATAAAAATCTGTACTGTCTACAGAGACTTTAATTTCAAACCAAAAGATGGAGGAGATATGCATGTTGCTTTTTCTAAAGGCGACTTAACTAAAGCATTAAGTAAATCAAATTGTTGGAACCAACTAATTTATTGTCATTAACTAATCAAAGAGACCTGCTAGCTAGCTAGTATGCATTTTGATTAAGAATTATACCTTCGCCTTTTCTTTGTCACCAAATTTTTAAGGATGGATTGTTGTTACAGAATCGACAAGGTTTCGATAATATGTTAATAACAAAATGTACTAAACAATGCTTGTGCTTTGAAAAAGGCCTTTCAGCGATTCGACATGCCCCCTAAGCAAAACGCTTAACCTACCCGACCTCGAAGAAAATATAACGAATCGCCCAAACCCTAACTATAATTTTAAAAGGCTTCTCATTACTTTACACATCAGGCTGGGAGGAAAAGAAAGATTTAGGTCCTACAAATAACCAAACATTACAAAGCCATTGGCCTTCTTACGCAAGCAAACCCATACTTAGTAAGAAAGCTAATCTACATAATACACCCCACTACAACCCCTTTTATTTTCCCCTGCTTTTACATTTTAGAACTATCGGTGTTTTGTTGCATTGGATTATTTCGAACTGGACTATATTAATTCTTAATCTAGTCGGTCCAATCCCGTAAAACTTAGTGAAGGCAAACAAACACACCTTATAAGTACATCAAAATTTATCCTCCCTCCCTCCCCCAAGTACACACCATATATACTAGTATATATACGCTAGTTCTACATACGGACTCTCGTATAATCTTCACATAATGTAGCACCCAATTTCATCTTCATCGTCAACGAACGTGTCTTCATCATCGTCATTGATAGAATCGGACGGCAGAGCAAACGAGAACATGCCCGGATGAGAATAAGTGGCAGTATGCATGGGATCAGGAGCATAGTATGAGGTACTTGTACTGGTAGGGTACGCCGTATTGTAACTTAGCCCGTACGTTGGGGGCGGATAGTACATTGATGTTGGGTACGGGCCGGGGTACGCATGCTGAACTGGTGGGCCAAGATTCATGGAGGCTATAGGTTGGGTCATGTCTGGCCCACCAGCCATATACGGCCCAATACTGCCCGCAGGAGGCGGAGCATCTCCAATATTGTGCTCGCCGGGGTTGGCAGTGGCACCGCCGCCATTTGTGGAATTACTATTTTGCCCTTTCTTCTTCTTCTTTTTCTTCTTCTTTTTGGCCCCGGTACTTGCTGTGTTTCCGCCGCCACCGCCAACAGCAGGACTAGCACCGCTTTCTCCACCACCTTCATTACCTTCGTCACCCTCTGCGTCGGATTCACCGCTGCCGTCAGCATCATCACCGCCGTTGGTTTTATCCGGTTTACCATCTTGTTCATGGTTATGATCCGCGGGCTGCTTCTCACTGTTCTTACTACTATTCTTTGATTTCCCGGACTTTTTCGATTTCTTAACTTCCGGCCAAAGCTCGGCGTGCTTCCCTGACTTCTGCAGCTTCTTCAGTAGAGTCTCCGCCTCCACGTTGCCGGTCACAGTCACTTTGTGCTGCTGCGAATCAATATCCGTCGTGTAAACCCCTGATCACCTCAATTAATCAAAACACGAACGATCAATTACGGATTAATTCAGAGAAGACAATCGCTAAGGCACACGAGTGAACACAGTGTCGTAACTAAGTAAAATATTAGAACATATGCGTTTGATAACCATTTCGTTTTTAGTTTTTTTACGGAAAAAAAAAAAAAAAACAAAACGCGTAGCAAGAGGGACGAGGGAGAAATGAAGGAGAATGTATAAACGTACCATCGATGTTCTGAAGAACTTTCTTGACTTTCCTCTTGCATCCTTCACAGTGGATTGAGACCTTCAAGACCCATGTCTGCAAAACGGAGGAGATGATCAACGTATAATTTGTGAAGAACAAAACTTGAAAAATAATGAGAAAAAAAGAAGAAAATATTTATACTAATTACCTGGTATTTTAAGGTTCCAAGAGCTTCTTCAGCCGGTTTTGTTGCCATTGATGAGAGAGAGAGAGAAAGAGAGAGAGAGGAGAGAGAGGGTGATGAAGTGGAGAATAAGGGAAGTGGGGAGCTTTGGGAGAATGTGTTCTGAGGTTTAAAGAGTGTGAAGAAAGCATCTGATGTGGTCATGGTGCGGATGCCACGTCAACTTCCACACCCCCAATGAATCACTGCTTCTCTGACACGTCATCAAACTCACGTGACAATGTCACGTGACCATCCCCTTAGGGTGCGCTTGGTACGCAGACGGGACGGGACGGGACGGGACGGGACGGAACGGGATGGGACGGGACGGGACGGGACAGAACGAATGTGTAATTTTTGAAAAAGACATGGGGTATATTTGTCTTAAAATGGTAAAACATTGTGTTCCACAGACGTGGAACAAACCCGTTCCAGGGGGAGGTGGAACGCAAAAACACCCAAAATCTGTCCCGTGGAACAGCCCGTTCCACCCATTTTTGGCGCACCAAACGCGGGACGGAACGCCTCGTCCCGTTCCGTCCCGTCCCGTCCCACGTACCAAACGCACCCTTAGGTCCCCACCACATCTCAATTAACTGACTTCAATTTCACACTCTCACAAGCTCACTGATTCGCATACGTAAATTTCATATTTCGCTTTTTAGTCAAAATGTTTTATGAGGTTTGCATAACACATAACTTTGATTTTTGAGATTTAAAATCAATATAAATGATCTTGAAATTATCCATCATCTATTATTTTCGTCATTCTGTTAAAAAACTCTGTTAAGTTGATGGTATAACACATAACTTTGGTCCCTCAAATTTGCATAACACATAATTTTAGTCTTTGAGATTTACATAACACATAACTTTGGTACCTGAGATTATCCATCATCCATCATTTTGGTCATTTCATTAAAAAGCTTAGTGACCACTTAACGGAGTTTTTTAATGGAATGACCAAAATAATGGATGACAGAGAATCTTAGAGACTACTTCTAGTGATTTTAAATTTCAAAAACTAAACTTATGTGTTATAAAAATCTCATAGACTATGTTAGCTATAAAGTCTTCATATTTTTATCTAAAGATTATAAAAACCTAATTCAAACCAATCAAGCACTAATATACGCTTGTTTTACGATATGATTATTATATAAGAATATCTCAAAGTTAATCACGCACATTCATCTGTTTTAATTTTCTCATCTCACAGTCCGGCACAGTGACATTCGCTGACAAACTACATACAGTTCCAGATATCAATCCAAACTCTGCCCGTGAGGAGAGAGGAGAACCTTTTGATTGATGATCAGCTTTGTACTGTGACTTTTGCTGCATCTTTTGCTATCCTCAATAAGATCGGACGGTCTTTATACTTTTTCAAGGTTCTGATCATCGACTTTTACTGCCACTGATATAATTGATTGAAATGGGCCCCTAGCTAACCTACCCTCAAAGGATGCTGTTGTTCAGAACTTCCGAGGCCTAGAAGTTTCTTGCAAGTAATCCAGGAAGCATAGCTATGAACAATCTTTTCTGCTCTCGAGCTAATCTACATTGCACCGTTGGAGACGAGTCTGTTTTGCAACTGAATGCATACAAGTTCTATATGTGTGATATATGAACAAATGTTTATACACTCAAGCAGAATTTATCCGTAATATACGTTCAAGTCATGTAACGAATGAGATAAAAACGATTCTAGTATGTAATCTAGAATGCAGAACTATGAATGATCGTCAATATTTTGAGCTAATATATTTTGTGAAGGAACTTCTATCTCGTTTATTAAACAATTTGAACATATATCACCTTGTTAGAGAAAATATTAACAAGGTGATATACAACTAATTACATTTTAGTATCTGTTCGTAATCGGATATATATGTTTAACTCATGTAATGAATGAGATAAAAGCGATTCTAGTACGTAATCTAGAATGCACAACTATGAATCAAAGTAACAGCAACACAAGATTTACATTCGAGAATCACATCCGTACATCCCTCATTCCAAGCCATAAAGAGACCCATGTAAACACCTCAAAGCTCAGCTTCCATGATGATTCCTCTGTCCAAGTTAGTAGCGAAGGCCTTAATCCATTTCTCCTTGAAGTTACGAAGCAAACCTCCAGCACTTATGTGGCTAAACGGGTCTTACAACTTCTATCAGTATTAATTTTGTATCTGCCCGTTGGCGGACGGATTCAATAAAATGAGATGATTTGTAGGCTTCTGGTAAGAACATTTGTTGGCATCGTACCAAAACCAAATGGAATTTTGGGGCCAGAGATGAGGCTGTTCATTTGCAATATTGCATGAACAACAATTGTACAAAGTTTGGTGGCGTGTAAAGTGCAAAAGTAATTGAGATAGAAAATACTAGGCAACTTCCCTTGCTCTGGGCCATTGCCATTGGCCACTATGCCTTGAGTGAGCTTTTGATGGCTTTTTGGACCATCCTCAAGATGGTATTTTATATAAAACAGAGTTCATTGTCACATGATATTTCAGCTTAATAATACAATTTCCGTAAAGAGAAGCATACACACACAAAAGATACAAACAACTAGTAGTTGATAGTTATTGTGCCTACCAGTTGTACAAGTTTCTGTAAATCAAAAGGCAAAAGTGATACATACGCACGAAAGATAACAATAGAAACATTCTCAAACACAATCGGAAAGAGATCAAATGACTAAACTATGGAAGCACTTTTGATGAGAGATTATATTAGAAGTAAAGATATCATAAATAGTCCGTCTATGGAATAAACATCGATCCAATTTTTATTGAAGAATGAAATGTTAATGCGTCATCAGTATTGTATTCATACTTAGCGGTGCAACTTGGCTCTTACTCAGTGTATTGCGCTCAAGATGCATCTCTTTATTGGGCTAGTTGAGATGTGTTTTTCATTGGGCTGTACTGAGTTTAGCTAACATAATGATGTATGAGTTGTATGAGTTGGCAAGCTCTCTGCTTGGGCATCGAACTATCGGCTCGTACCCTGATTTAGTTATACATCAAGATAACAAAACGTTTTGACAAATTATCAATCCATTTTCGACAACATTGACACAATATCAACCGAAAGAACGAACGTCCTACACAAAGATTCCCAATCGTGTGTGTATCTATAAAAAAAAATTCATGTCGTCACAGCAGACAATACAGTAAACGGGTTTCACTTTCTGCACTTTATATGAACCAATGGATTCACCAGGTTATGAGCACTAGAGTGACTTGTGACACTACTTGGCACTCCAAGTCATTCATGCTTTATCAAATAATATTCATCCAATCTCAGAAAAGAAATCAATTAACTTAATCACTACAACATACTAATTAATGCAGTCCAAATAATCACGGAAAATGACTCGACTTCCTTTTCGACATGACACCCTCGACATTTGGAAAAGTCGAGGTTACCTACCCCCGGCTCAGACACTCTTCTTACCTCTCTACCGTGTGAGGAGACAGATAGTAACAGAGTGTGAAACGGGGGCATGGAAGTCTCTCTCCTGCTTATATCAAGTTTAAACAGATCGATATGTAAATTATGAACTCAAAAAATCGAAGCTCTGGCGCAAATCATAGTTTGCAAATGCATCGAATCATTCCTCGTTGTTGCTACAAAACACAGAGGGAACCTCTTTGTTCTATGAATGACAGATTAAGTACCCAACAAGTACAGTTCTAAGGTTGGTACATAAACTAAGACATATACACGACTTTCTTGAATATAAGAACACCTACGATGATGGAGGCAAGAACGGACGAGGCACCTTGTCTAGAAAGCACAAATTCGGTCCATGTCAAGGGCTTTGTGACTTCAAGTAAGACATTGCGAAACTGTTCTCTTAAATCGTCTAGCGATCCAGTGTTATCAACCACTATGTCTGCCTTGGTCCTTTTCAAATCGAGTGACATCTGAGCATTTATCCTGTTTCCAGCATCATCCTCACTTGTTCTGTCCCTCGACATGAGTCTCCGGAGCTGCGTTTCAGGATCAACCCATACAACAATAATAGGCTTCGTCCACTTGTCCATCTTGGCCTCGAACAACAGAGGAACATCAAGAACAATAACCTTACACCCCTTCATCCATAGCTTCAAAATTTCCCAAAAGATTCCAGACGATATATATGGAGCTAGCAGTCTACAAGAAGATAAAAACTAGATATTACAGCTGATATAATATGTAACTTGTGCTATAAGCTACACCAAAGTAAAATCTCATAAAGTGGTACCACAACATTTTTGAATTCGACGAAATCTAGGTAACTTTAACCAAAAGGAATTGGCATATTTTCGCTGTTTTTAAGAAATCACACGCATGAATTTTGACCTTGACGTGTCAAAACTAGAGGGAGTTCTATAGAACCTAAATGCTATTTTTTCCTTGGCCACTCTAGGTTTTACATCTAATGCAACACTAGCTTTTCAACAAGCAGCCAGGAAATCCAATGGTTACAATTTATAAAAGAGTTTGATTCACTCAACTGCACTAGGGGTAATGTTGAATCATACAGCACAAAGTATTAACAAAGCAGTACTCTAAAAAAAATCGCAAACGAAACCTGGAACTAATTGCAAAGGGGTAGTACCGGTTCAGAAGTTGGCGCATTTCAGGATTAGAGAACACAATTTGTCCCAGTTTAGGCCTATCAACTTCTCCATCAAGTTGCAAAATGTCCTCTCCAAATGCCGAAACAACCTTTTCCCAGCCACCAGTGCCCTTCTTCAACACATCCTGAAACCGAAAAGATATTGAGTCCACAAAACAGCCGAAAACAACACATTGCCATCTAACTTTCATGACTGTCAAAAGCATAAATTTCAGGGTTTGCTCATCACTCACTCGAGCAACAAGATCCGCATCAACGACTGGAATGCTGTGTTCCTTGAAGAGATTGGAGACGGTACTCTTCCCGGAAGCAATTCCACCTGTCAGCCCCACGATCCTCATTCTTTCTACTTCCTCTGATCTTCTGCTCTTTCTGTTAACAATTGCTCCTACTATCAAATTACAATTTAAGCAAAAATTACATAAAAATTAAAGTAAATTAACAAACTTTAGCGCATAGTACTCCATATTTTAATGATTTAGAATTTTGGGTTCCTAAAAATTAAGAGCCTTTGCTCCTCCCTGTAATAATTTCATAGGGATTCGACGTCGGAGTGCCGGCTGTGGACTACCGGACGCACTCCCCCTCCTCCTTTATCTGGACTTGGTACCGACAGCGTAAGATAAACTTACACAGTTAGAGTTCTTAGTTCTCACTGTACAGATTATAAAAAAATACAATAAGAAGATGCAATCTTTTTGTTTAGTTTACACATAAACAAACAGAAATTTAAAAGCTAACGGTGAATTTATAGAAAACCAATTGAATGAGAAGATGCGGGGGAGAAATTCCCACCAATGTCTGCAAGGGGCCGACTCAGTATTTCATCTCTGCCGATTGGCCATGTCGATTATAATTTAGTCAAAGTTGAAAGATTACAAATGTGAAGTCAAAATTACATCTTTTCTCCAAGGAAAACCCCAATTCTTCACAAAGGTTGTAGCTTTCTCACCAATTACATCTAGCAATTCACAGATAACATTTTCAAGCAGGAGGAAAGGAAACCCAGAAGTAAAAAATGGGAGGGAAACATGAAAAGTGTACCTTCCGCGGGTATCAAATTTGGTTAGGGCAACTTTGGACTTGTGGGTCTGAATCTGATGCTCAACAGCGATACAGTTGGTCGTAGTTGATTGAAGAACATGAAGATTTGCGGTGGAAAAAGTGGGGATTTCGGAGTCGTGAGGGAGAGGAGAGGAGAGGAGGACAAAGACGATTTTAATGACTATAAATATGTTGTTTGATTTCGTTAGTAATAAGCGCATCTGGTGTAGTGGTATCATAGTACCCTCCCACGGTACTGACCAGGGTTCGATTCCCTGGATGCGCATGTTTTTTTATTTTATGGGCAACTTTCAAATCTTCAAAAACTCAGCACAACTTCTTCAGTGTGCGTCTTCCAGTGTTGTAACTTATCAAAATAAATGAGCATTAAGCAGCAAACCCATAACTCCACTAATTGAAATGGATAAGTCCATTCAAAATTCAAAAATGAGGATCACATAACTCAAACGTGGGAGAAGAATTCTGGAAACACTACCAGCAAACCATAAGGCTTCCTACAAAAAAGGCCACGTACAAAAATATATCAGCCTAAAATGATATATATGGAATTTAATAAGTAACATTTTAAATTAAAAAAAACACAATAATGACATGTAATCTAAATAAATATAAAAATGCTGACATGGCTATCATTTAGGCGTCCTAATCAAATCTCAAAATAGAACCAATGTTTATTAGAAAGGTGCAGGGGATTCTAATTTTCTCATAACTTAGTTGTCTTTTTGTACTGTAAAGAATTGTATTTAACTTACCAATTAAAATTACAGAAAACTTTTCCATGCTACGAGTATTGGATGACCTAAATTGGTTCGAATTAGTACTTTTATTGTGGTTTAATGAATTCAGAACATACAATGTTCATACCATGAAAATGAAACCCCAAAATTACATCACACTTTTAGCTATTCTTGGCACCCATGGCCTTACAAAAATGTGACTTCAGTAAAACTAAAAGCACTTATGATAGAAGTGTTTTAGGCAAGCATTTGCAATAGCTTCACATAGGAAAGCTAAAACCCTGCGGACTGTAGTATTGTTAAGTTCGTCCTCCCGTCCGTTCTCGGATGAGATGACGATGAGACCGCCACCGCAGCTCAGCCCCACAACAACCCGACTCCTCTCTCTCCTAACCAACTGCTCCTCCGCTTCTCACATCCCCCAAATCCAAACCCAACTCATCCTCCTCAACCTCCAGTCCGACACCACCGTCGCGTCCCGCTTCATCGCCGCCTGCCAATCCCTCCTCCGCCTGGATGTAGCCCACCGCCACTTCCTAACCCAAATCCCCAAACCCCATGTTTTCATCTGCAACTCTCTCATCAGAGCCTTCTCTCACACCCACACCCCTCAAGTCCCCTTCTCTATCTACACCCACATGCACAAAAGCTCCATTCTTCCCAACAACTTCACCTTCCCATTCCTCCTGAAGTCGATTGCCGATTCCCGGGACGTCATACGTGGGCAATGCCTGCATACCCATGTCGTGAAATTGGGTCATCTCTATGATATTTATGTGCAAAACTCGTTGTTGAATCTCTATGCCTCGTCCTCCGGCCGTATGGAGTTGTGTAGAAAGGTGTTTGATGAAATGCCTCAAAGAGACGTTGTGTCATGGACGGTTTTAATTATGGGGTACCGGAATGCTGGGAATTATGACGATGCTTTGATTGCTTTTGAACAGATGCAGTTTGCTGGTGTGGTGCCAAACCATGTGACAATGGTGAATGCTTTGGCGGCGTGTGCAAATTTTGGGGCCCTTGAGATGGGGGCTTGGATACATGACTTTATAAGGAGGAGTGGATGGGAATTGGATGTGATCTTGGGAACTTCTTTGATTGACATGTATGGAAAATGTGGTAGGATCGAAGAGGGATTGGCAGTTTTCAATAGCATGAAAGAGAAGAACACATTTACTTGGAATGCTCTTATTAAAGGGCTAGCTCTCGCTAAATATGGTAAGGAGACAGTTGGGTGGTTTGAGAGGATGGAACAAGAAGGGATCAGAATAGACGAAGTGACTTTGGTTTCGGTTTTAAGCGCTTGCAGTCACTCGGGGTTGGTAGATATGGGCAGGCAGATTTTTCGTTCCTTGAGTGATGGAAAATATGGATTTTTGCCCGGGGTCAAACACTATGCTTGTATGATTGACCTCTTAGCACGTTCGGGGTGTCTCGAAGATGCTTTGAAATGCTTGAGAGAAATGCCTTTCGAGCCTACTATAACTATTTGGGGATCGTTGTTGGGCGGTGCTAAAACTCATGGGAATTTGGAATTGAGCAAGTTTGCAGCTTGGAAGCTTGTTGAACTGGATCCGGGGAATAGTGGTTACTATGTTTTGCTGTCTAATTTTTATGCAGAGATGGGAAGATGGGATGATGTTGAGAAAGTGAGGGGGATGATGAAACAGAGAGATCTTAAGAAAGACCTGGGGTGTAGTTCCTTGGAATTCGAGCCCCCGGGCCAAGTTAATCAGCTATTAGCACAATAAGTCAGATCGTATTACAATTCTTTCAATAGAGGGTTAGTTATTAATATTATTGAATTGGGTTTTTGTCCATTTTACTGACTGCATCAAGTTTATTGGATGCCAAATGATAAGAATTGCTCTGATTGCAGCCTAGTTATCTTTTCGAATCTCAGTTGAAGTCAGTTGAGATCAAATTACGTGCTGTGATATACGCTACCCATGCGCTAACATGGGGGCGAGATTCAAACATCTTCTTCGATTGTGTTCCCATCAAGTTATGTATGGTTGGAAGGGGTTGAAGATCTGCCAGAGTGAAGCTTTTACCTGCCAAGTACTTCGACTGAGCCAGGCATGTCTCATAAACATCAAGAACCACAGCCAACTTGGGTTCGTATTCCTCCACTACTGCCGCGTCTGTGGTCATTTTAAGCAGAGGCTTTATAGCTAGCTCATAGGTCAGTTTCGAGGATGCTGGGTCGAACTTTTGGCCCTCCACCTCCGTCCACAATGATAGAATTGCCATCTTCTTCGAGTCTCGGATCACCAGCGGGGTTCCCTTGTCAGCATACTCGTGGGCAATGTATTGTCTTATTGCCCTTGTTTCTGCATATCAGAAGCCGCACGGCTTATCTTATATACACAAATTCATGTTTCATATATGTTGTGTGTCAATTTGATGTCAGGACTACAACTGCAATGCCGTATTCCAAGCCAATAACGAACTAGAATTGTATTTTAACTTTTTTTCACATGAAAGTGTTTGATTGGTTTAAAGTACCGTTTTTAAATTTTTGTTAATTTTATCCTTGTGGTCAAATTTTCGATGTCAATTTGTCTGACACGGTTTGTATCGACTCTATATCTATCCAATCTCATCTAATAAGTTGAAAGCATGGAAGGTTAAACCTTACTCGGAGTGAAATGGCATATCTATGTGTTCTCAATGTAGCACATTGCAGATGACACAGTGACAGTTTGATCATCTTCTTCTCTCCCTTCTTAACAACTAAGAATTTAACCCACTAACTCTATCTTCGTAAAAAAAATGTAGCTCGATAAATTGAGCACACAACATCTTGTACTAATTAAATTATTCGGCTACAATCAATGAAGATACGAACCAAAACATCGTCTCAAACAATGTCAGCAGACCCGTTACAACAATTCATCTTCAAACTTCACCAAAATTCATACCCTCAGCCACCTTCTTGGAGGCCGGCCGAGCTGAAATCTCCTCCCACCACGCCTTGACGAGAGGACGATCGTCGACCAACGAAGACCAAGGCGTCTTCATGAAATAGAAGGTGCCCGGAAAGTGGTGCAGGTCAGCCAGGCTGTAGAAATCACCAGCTAGGAACTTGTTGCTGCTCAACCTGGCTTCATACACGTCGAGCACCTTCTTCAGCTTCTCTAAACTTGCATCGATCACCGTTTGATCTGGTTCGATTCCTACCACAGGCTTTGCGAAAAACTCGAAAATAATCGGTTCGATTGCAGGGTTGTATTGTTGGGATTCCACTTCTGTCCATACCTTCACCAATGCAGCTTCGTTGAAGTTTTCGCGACGAACGAGATCGTGTCCCGTTTCCTTGAATTTTTCAGCTACATATGCTGTGATTGCCCTAGATTCTGGTGCGACAAATGAAGAAGTTCTAACTAAATATTTTACGATAATTTTTTCTACGGTCAGAAGAAGTGCAGGAGGCTAAGAACGAGTGTGAAAATCGACAGCCAAGATTAAGCACTTACCGAAAAGTGTGATGCCATCGTCTTCTAATACTGGAATCAGGCCAAAGGGCTGCATGAACATGATGGAGAAAATACAATGAGCTTCTATATATATACAACTGCAAAAATCATGGAGATTTGTAAAATGTTTGGAAATGAATGAAAAAATGTACATTCTTGGCAAGAAACTCAGGCTGCTTGTTTTCGCAGGCGAAAAGATCAACGGGGACAAGCTCGAAATCAACGCTTTTTTCGTGGAGACAAGCGACGACGCGAGCTGTGCAGGTCGACACAGAAAGTCCATGCAGCTTGAGCACCATTGTTGGAGCAGAAGGGAGCTTAGTATTTGCCAGTGCCTAGAGATTTTGGAGAAGAAGATGTGTCTGCGTTGGTGACCAAGGTCTTTATTAAATATAACTCAAGGCTCTGAGATTAGTCTTGGTTGAGATACTCTTTGTCGGTCTTTTACAGTTTTGATTTGAAAAAAAAATAAGAACAGTAGCACCATGCTGCAGATCTAACCTTCTGTCGGATATTTCACATGGTTGAATGAAAGCCCCGATGCAATGACGACAGACGAATTGTTTCGCCCGATGCAATAATTATTTTGAAGTGTCAATAACAGTTATTCAACATGTAAACCAAAGAATTTTAGATGTTTTGGTTAGAAGATACGACGATGAGACGGATTCAGAACAAAATGATATAAGAAAACCTAAAGAGACTCAAAAATAGAGTTTAAGAAAAGATATGAAGTATTTAGAAATAACAACAGACTTGATGCCGAACGCACTAACGATATAAAATTCATATAGCCGACTCCACTTAATAGGACAATGTTTGGTGGCTGTTGTAATAACATTTATCCAACCACTCTGCTGAAAGTAAAATGTTGGCATAATCTTCTTTGTATGAGGTATGTTATGTTATCTTACTAGTCAAACAAAGATTTCGGGGCGCTGAATTTAAATGATTGGCAGCATCTAGAGATTGGAGGCAGATTCTCTGCCCTTTTACTTTCCGTGCTCTTTTGTTTGTATGATCACAGTTAAGTCACGTCAATATTTTATATTACAATTTCTTTTTGTTTTATTATCTCTATAAAAAAAAAAATATAAAATATTAACATAGCTTAACTGTGATCACACAAAACAGAAAGACACGAAAGGCATAGCAGAGAATCTGCCTCCCTTGAGATTTGCTCTCCTTTTTTAAACCAACGCACAAACTTCCAAGTAAAAAGATTACCAAAATTAACAATGATTACACAACATTTTTGGCTAAAAAACAATGATTTGTTGTAAAATCGACTGTGGGTGCAGTGGAATAAATGAAACAAGACACAAGGTTTACGAGGTTCCTCTACAGTCAGTGTGACTGGAGTACGTCCTCAGGGCAGCAGCGGCGCTTTCATTATAATTTAGAATAATAGGAGTACAAAGATAACTCTCTCTATTATCTCCTCTCATCTTCCTCTATTCTCTCTCTTCCTCTTCCTTCCTTCCTCTCTTTCTTTCCCGTGAACTCTTCACATCTATCTATGTTGTGTTTCATAAGGCTTGCTTATATATAAGCAAGTCACAAGCAGCATAGTAAAAGAAAATGAATGGGTTATTGGCCAGCCATCCATTCACCTTTACAACACTCCCCCTTGGATGGCCACAAGTCTTCTATTGACTCGTTAAAATCTTGATCTGTTTTGAATGCTCCCCCTGATGAGTATCTCCCCCTGATTTCAAATCATTTAGGTTGATCGTTGATCGTTCTGCTTTAGTCTCTTAGTAAGAAGAGTTGCTGAAAGAGTTGATTTACTTGTTGTTAACTTTCCACAGGCTTTTTCTTGAACTGGGTTGTAGGACTTTCTGCTAGACTTGCATCCAAATGTCTGAATTTACTCCTTTGATCTGAAGCAGATTTGATTCAAGTGTGGTGGACACTTGATCTTGAATCGGACTTGTAATTTCTTTAAGGACCTTCGAAGCTTGATCTTGAATGAAATTGGACCATGAGGAGCTGCACGTGACAAGTAATCTTCGGCTTAGTTGGGGATGAATCAGCATATGTTCATTGCACTTGTCTCCACATGCTTCAATGCATCATTTTCACTTTCCTTACTTGCTCCTTTTGCTTAAGTAGTATTTTCACTGTTTTTCCCCCATGCATATGTGGCATCTTCTCTTGTAGGATTTGTCCCCTGGTGCAGAAGTGGAATGCAAACCCTTGCATTTGGATGGCTCATCACTTCTTGGTGACTGAAGACCCAACTCCAACTGTTGAAGATGACTACTCGAGAGCAATACTAGGTAAGCAATCAGGAAAGGTTCCAGGCAATCGGTTCCTTACCGGGAGTTTGAGTGGAGGTTCCGACATATTGCTTTCCTTACCCTTGTCTTTGCAGGCAAGAACATGGACAAAGGAAAGGACAGGGAGATTGCATGATATGAGATAATCTTGCTCTGGTCCCTGAAGATATGTGATAATCTTGCTCTGGTGTGACATGTTGAAAAGGTATTCTCGGAGAGGAAGAAAATTGAGTATTTCGAGATGCTATGTTGAAGATGCATTCTCGGAGATGAGGAAGAGTTAGGTATTCTTGCAGTGTTGCAGGTCTGCCTTGTTATGGAGAACAGAGGTCGACATATATAGAGATTTCTCAATAGCAAGTGGTGGTGCTGCTGTGCTTTTACTCTTGTCAGCAACTGTGGTGTAAATAGAACAGTAAGATTTACGTGTTTTCAACTTTGTCAGAGATCTTTGACAAAATTGCACGCGACATCTGAAAAGCTGGGATTACGTCTGAAAAATGCCAACGAACTTTATTCAGGAAAATCTGGCTTTTTGAAATTCGGAGAGCCGTGTCGCTTCGATCTTTGAACAAGCGGCTCTGTTGCCTCTTCTTTTATAGAGACATCAATTGCGTTCAAGAGTATGCTCAGAAAGTTGCTGCCTGAGAAATTTCCACCTTCTTGCACTTCTGAAATTTTATTTGACCTCTGTTTTTCCTTCATCATTTCTGAAAAATGACTTGCCCATCTAACATTTGCTTAGATTTGAGTCTTATGAGTGATACAGACGAGCAGCGTCAGGATAATATATGGCGCCCGTCCTTCTTATCTTCTAATGGTCCTCTTACGGTTGGGGACTCTGTGATGAAGAAATAACATAACCGCTACTGTGGTAGCTAGGAATCTTCTCACTCCAAGGGATAACAAGATCCTTTCAGAACGGTCTGAAGAGTCGGCCATTCAAGACTCCTTGGCTCTCAGTGTTCAGTGTGCTGGCTCTGTGTCCAATATGGGCCAACGCCTACTTGCTCAAACTCGCCAAGTTGAATCATTGATGGCGGAGGTGGCAAGTCTTAAACAAGAGATCAGAGGGCTCAAGCACGAGAATAGGGTGTTACACGTGCTTGCAAATAGTTACTCTACGAGCATGAAAAGAAAGCTCGTCCAACTGCAGGAATCCGAAAGTCGGATTCAAAGTGATCACCAGAGGTTCGTTGCTAGATTCCGAAAGCAATTGATGCCTTCCCCTTCTGGTGTTTTGCTAAGTACTGGGGTGCCACATGATCAATCTCCAGTGCCTCCCCCTTCTGGGGTACTTCCGAGTACTGAGGCTTCACATGAGCAACCTTTGTGAAGGCTCCATCCTGTTTGTTTGTTTTAACTCATGTGTATGTATATATCTGTAATTTCTTGGAGATATTAATAAATAAGCTTTATTTCATTCAATGTATTGTGCCAAATACAATAAAGCATATACTTCACTAAGATGTGGTACTTCTGGACCAAATATTAATTTATCTTTACCCTCACGAAGATAAATGATTATTCTTAGTGTCTTCATCATATGAGTATTCAACTCATAATCTTCAATCCATATGATTCTTTTAATATCATAAATATCATGGATAAAGATTCGTGTTGGTAGATTGTTCGATCTGCAGCTCGAGACAATAATTCCTTCAACACTTTATAATTTTTCTAGACTCTTCAGGAGTCCCAATTTAATATCATCAACTCTTCAAGAGTTATAATTTAATGTCATTGACTCTTGCAAGAGATTTTAGTATGTTGCAACAATATCATAATGATAGTACTCACTAAGGCAATTTATATCATCCATTGGTATTGAGTACATATTTTATGTTTTACCCTTCAGAGGCTTACTTCAAGCAATTTGAATCCTTCAAGGGTTTTCTACACTTCATGACACATTTTCCTTTGGAATTTATACAGAGCAATTTGCTCCCATGTATACTTGAGGGATTTACTTATGGAGATATAATGTGGGCGACTCACAACCCTTCGTATATAATTCTCCATTCATATGAACTTGTTTACAACCTTGTGTCATATCATGTAAGTGTATCACACTATATTACAAATGCCCATATATAACCTCCTTGGTTTAACATCATTTGGCTATTTGTATTGTATTCAAATATATATAGGTTCATTTGCCCACGTTCTTACAAAATTTGTAATGGAATTGCCTTTCTCCATTTTTGGCCAATAATTTTTCTTTTGTCGACGAACAAAAGAACGTGACTTAATATTAACACAGCTTATTGATGAATTTAGTAGCTACTTGTAAAAACCAAAATTACCATTGGTTATCATCAATCCGTGATCCCATATTCTCATGTGCATGCGCATGCATAAAAGCTTTTCATTTCTTTGGATATCCATTACCTCTTCAAGGGCATTACACTATCTCTTCCAGGATAGTCATAGTTTAGAGAATGCGGATCATAACCTCTTTTTAAGCGTTATAGAGCTTGGATTTTAATCTCCACTTCCAAGAGTTGAGTCATTTAGAACCTATACGTCAATCATGCTTCATGCATGAGACATCAATATTCCCATGTCTGTGGATTGTCATATCTGGGACGTGTATCCATACGGCGACTGTCATGCTTCTGGCATGCAACAGTTATGCTTCGGGAATGCAATAGTTCAGTAGTGCCATATTATTCTTCTTTATTCGAATGACTGAACCTTTTGAGTCTAAGGGTTTGCCACGTTTCAGGCGTGCAACAGATAAATCATTTACTGTCTCATTATTTTATCCAACAGAGACATCAATTCTTGTAGGCACATTTGCAGTAAGTATATATGATTTCATCACTTTCGTTGCATCATTCAATTATTCATATTTCATTTTCTCATTGATTGCTTCGTGAATCAAAATAAGACAAATTCTCTTCGTTCTTCTGGAACGGTCTTTTCTCATTATTCTTTTGGAATGATATTTTCTCATCGTTCTTCTGGAACGATATTATTTTCTCCCCCTAATGGCAGGAAAATTGTCTTATCAAAATGACAGTCCGCAAACCATGCGGTAAACATATCCCCAATCAAGAATTTCAAATATTGAATGATAGATGGTGTTCAACATCAATGCCTAATCTGCAATGATGCCTCATTTCAGTACGTTGTGGCAGTCTTACAGGCACATAGACAACACAACCAAAAACTCGTAAATGTATAATGTTTGGTTGGTTCCAAACCCGAGTTGTACTGAGAAGTATTGATGGTCGGTAACATGTCTCAACCGAATTAATAATGCATCATGTAAAGTTTACATGTCCTCATGTAGAAAATTGGCAATTTCGTTTTCATGAGCAGAGCGCGGGAAATCAATTTCATTCGCTTAATAAAGGCTTCTGCTAAACCATTTTGAGTATGGACATAAGGAACTTCTGGTCCTTATTTAATAGTCTGTAAACTAAGACTCTTATGGCTTTTATTACAATTAAGTTAAGGCACTGCGGCACTTCAAACTTACGGTACTCATCTAGGAACTTCATGTCATGTCTGATCTTCAGTATCAAGGGACTTCATGCCAGATCCTTTTGTATGATGGAACTTTGGGTCCAATCATTTTATATGATGAGGATCAAGAAACTGCAGGTTCTGATCTGATCAAGGAACTTCAGGTCCTGTATATACTCATAGTAACAAAAGATAAGTACAATAAATAAATTAAAGCAATAGACGGTAATTCCAACCATAGTAAATAAATTGCATTTAAGTAAATAAAGCTTGTGACAAGGGCTTTAATTCAGCACCATTCACATAAATCAAAACTTAAAGCAGTAGGCGGTAAAACCGTCCATGGTAAATAAATTGCTTTAAAGTAAATAAAGCTTGTGACATGGGCTTTAAACCAACACCATGCACATAAATATCAAAGCTTTAAAGCAAAGGGTAATAATGCTACCCACTGTAAATAAATTGCTTTAAATAAATAGAGCTTGTGAAAGTGTTTTAAGCCAACACCATTCACATAAATAAATATATATTTTCGTTTCTTATTCATTCACATGGTGCCGTGTACCATCCAATAATATTTGTTCTTTTCTCCTTTTGTGACAACATCATGCACCAAAAATCCACCTTTCCAATTTTTTTATTTATTTTTTATTTTATTTTTTCAGAATGGTGCAACTCACTTCCAAAACCTTTTTGTTTTCTTTAAATAGTCCAACCGACACACCATCCATTTGCTCCCTTTTTCAATTTATATATGTATATTTTTCTTTCTTTCCAACTACCCAAAATAATCACACTTTTCTTTGTCTGCCACTTATAAGAAGATCAAACCGTTAGATTTAACTCAAAATTTAGTATGATATGGATAAGAAGATACCAAACAACTTTCGTGAAGAAACAGTTTCGAGCTGAGCTTCTGAAAATGAAGGTTTGGTACTCATAAGATGGCTGTCCAGTTTTCTGCGGAAATGGAAGCTGAGTTGAAGTTTCAGTCATCTACGACGATCGCACCGTTGACAATTTCTGAAATTTGGATATGTTCTAGGTACTAGGCGGACAAACAACTTTCAAGAAGAAAGTATTTCAATCGGATGTCAGGAAGTTGGAGTTCAGTGGCTATTTACATGGCTGCCAAATTTTCTGCGGATTTTGAGTCTGTAGTATTATTTCTAAGATATGGAATGATTTAACCGTTGGATGGTTCTGGAATTTTGGTATGTTATGGGAGAGAGGATAAGGAACAACTTTTATGAAGGAATGGTTTCTGTATGAGCACTGGAAGTTGAAGTTTCAAAGCTCATATGATCGTCGGATTTTCTGCCAATAATAATGACAATACTTATATAACCACATGTATATTTACTTTAAGAAAATTAGTCATTTAGAGATATGAGAATGAAATGAAAAGATTTTCTTATCTGTGAGATTCCAGCCGATAGATGTGAGAGGTAAGTAGTGCTTTCCACCGACATGAGAGCTTCTCGTGCTGATAACGTGTTGTAAAATCGACTGTGGGTGCAGTGGAATAAATGAAACAAGACACAAGGTTTACGAGGTTCCTCTACAGTCAGTGTGACTGGAGTACGTCCTCAGGGCAGCAGCGGCGCTTTCATTATAATTTAGAATAATAGGAGTACAAAGATAACTCTCTCTATTATCTCCTCTCATCTTCCTCTATTCTCTCTCTTCCTCTTCCTTCCTTCCTCTCTTTCTTTCCCGTGAACTCTTCACATCTATCTATGTTGTGTTTCATAAGGCTTGCTTATATAGAAGCAAGTCACAAGCAGCATAGTAAAAGAAAATGAATGGGTTATTGGCCAGCCATCCATTCACCTTTACAACATGATTCACAATATTGTTAGGGCATCTCTGACAACGAAGTTAATTCTTTTGCTGGTGACGAGCAGGGTGCAAAAGTTTTTAACCAGCTATTTTAATTTTTTATCTCCAACACTCTTTAATTTACATTTATTATTTTTATGCTTAGATTAATGTTAATTTCTCTATCCAAAGTCAATAGATTTAACTAGTTAAATCTTTTGGAGCTGTAATTGTTCAAATAGCTTGCGGGAGATAGCTAGTCTACTGAAGTTGTAATTTTGTGAATTTTACGTTAAAATAGCAAAACAGCCTCATTTAGCGAGGTTGTTGGAAACACTCTTAACAAGAGTCACTTTAGCATGTTTACTTACGGAAAATGGGAAATGAATGAAAGAATCGAAGAACTTTGAAACATGAAAGAGTAAAGAAAGAGGATTTATTCAACTTGCTTCCCAAATTAATTTGCTTCCTGATTGTTAGGTATTTGATGACGTATTTCATAGAGAAAGTCACAGTTTCGCGATTCCATGTGTTAATAATAAACACGTAAAAAAGGTTAAAAACTAAAATGATTCTCGTACCCATATTTTAATAAATGTATGAAACCCAAGGACCAAATCTTAAAATTATAACAATTAATAAAACAAAGCATTGAAAAGCAGTATAAAACATGGACAAGGATTGTCTACCCTCCCACTTCCGATGCCCTCCTGTTTTGTGTGATTACAGTTAAGCCACGTTAATATTTTATATTGTTTTTTTTATAGGGATAAAAAATGTAGTACTCAGTGCACAAGGCTCCCGCTTTACGCAGGGTCTAGAAGATGTGAATGTCCATAAAACATAGGATAAAAATGAATAATAATATAAAATGTTGACATAACTTAACAGTGATCACACAAACAGGAGGGCACCGGAAGTGGGAGGGCACACATTCCTTATCCATAAAACATAGGGTCCTAGTTGATTCTGTGACCATCAACGGTCAATTTGCAATTTCCCACACAAATGGACAACAGACGGAACCTCAGTACTAATTTACATTTTTAATCTGCAACACAGGAAACCACAACACTAGAATTAACAACAGTAACACAAGAAGCTCATAATTTTGAGGACTTTATGAGCTCTTCCTTGCAACGAGACATTGCCAGTATCACAAACCAATCGAGTACTATTATATAAGTTAAAACGCTTAACAATGCGTGATTGACTTGAATCACAGATAAACAGTACAAAACATATTCTTTATAATTAAGTTAGTTTTTTTTTTTTTTCATTTTCTAATTTCGTTACCGGTGCAGCACTCAGAAATTTACAAATTTACAATGCTCATGTATTTACAGCATGATTTACCCATACCCTAAAACTAGGGAGAAAAAAAATAGCAGAAGACCAAACAGTCAAGAGAACATTATAATGCAGGAAAGGATGGATAGTACTATATTTCACTTTAAAAGGCTTCTTCGGGCTTTAGAAAGTTGTGATATTCCAGCTGGGTCATCTCACCTCCATTCACCGGGTCAAACTCACATCGATAGAAGCTGCATCCCAATGCAAATTGCACAACAAAGTTTAAATTCCGAACCCATAACAAGAACGACTAAGCAAATCGTACGATGTACTGTATATGAGTAATGATTGAACATTGACACGGTTCGGTCATCACTAAACTGCAAAAGCATATAAAACTAATTTGTTTTCATACCTTCCATCCATGCCAAGAATCACCACAGTATTCTTTTGGTGACCAAACGCAACAATGTATTGAGAACCTTCAAGCAAGCGAAACTGAGCAACCGACCACTCTGAGCTAAAATACTTGGGCAGCACACCTGCAATACAAACCGCACTCAGATTCAGAATGACAAGCATAATTGTTGTTTACCAGTGTACATGATACACATGGTATCACGTATTAAGGAAGGAAGCACAACACACAGCCTTCATCCACACACACTCAGAGTACTTTATTTCTAACAAATATTTTACACAAGGACGCATCTTGTGACAAAATTTAGGTTTAAAAATCTCACACTGTCCCAGTGAAAATGCATCACAACCTGTGCTTTATTGGGTATTCAGCATATGGTACTGGAAATTGGGATAAAGCAAAATTTGGAATAGCTGTTGGGTGGTTAGGACATCCTATCTTTAGAGATAAAGAGGGGCGCGAACTTTTTTACGTCGTATGCCTACTTTTTTTTAAACATTTCCAGTTTTTAATCCTGTCAACATGATGCTAGACTTTGCTGATAAAAGTTAAAGTGCCACAGAGCATATACAAATGTAGTCCTTATATCATATCTGTGACATCAAATTCTTCCCCTAGAAGCAAAATAATAAGAATTGAAGTGGTATAGGAAGCCCTAATACCAAGCATTGACAGATAGTAAACGTAGAATGTTTAAAAACAGCAAACAGAGTAGAATAACACAATCATTTAGGGGTGGGAGTTTACCTCTGATGAAAGAAAGAGATGAGTTTGATGACGAAACAGCAAGATTTGGATCAGATGCACTTCGGGGGTTCTCATTTGAGGATCCAGAATTAACCTTGAGGTTGAAAACATGGACCGTTCCCTTGTCACTTGAGACTGCTAACCACTGGGCAGTTGAAGAGAATGCCAAACTATAGATTTCTGCTCTGTCTGCACCCCTCCTTACCTGCAATGTATACAATTAACTATCACACATCCATAATTCTACCAACCCGTAATCATACGTCTACGCCAGTTAAGACTTCCAATGGAGGAGGTGGGATGCACCATCCTCAATGTTCAGATAAAAAGAAAAGAACTGGAGAAAACAATCTTCCTAAGTCCACTAAGCAAAAGCATACAGAAAACAAACATGTATTGACTTCATAATGAACAGTATCTGATTTAAAACACTGAACCAACTACAAAACCCGAAAGTCCATATAGAAAGTACCTTAAATACTTCATATTACCACAACCCCATTAATGGTAGAACAAACTTCCTTGAACTTAAGAATGTTCGAATCCAGTACAAACTGAAATATAAATCACCATGCCAATGAACTCTAACCTGCAACTTACAGCTGCTTTCAAGCAAGGCCCCTGAATTCATATCCGAAATTTGAAACACTAAATACCCAGTCATTAGAAATAAATTATTAGCACCGCCCCTGTTAATGGTAGAAGAAACTACCCCTAACTTAAGAATGTTCGAATCCCGTACAAACTGAAATAAAAATCACCATTTCAATGAACTCTAAGCTGCAAATTACACTTGATTAATACTACTACAAGGCTTCCAAATTAAGCAAAGACCCTAAATTCATATCCGAAATTTGATACTAAGCAATCCCAATTCTCTCTAATCATAAGAAGTCTCTCTATTCAAGAACTTCAAGCTCAAATACATAACACATTTGCATTGAAACTTGATTATACTACTATAAGGCTTTCAAATTAAGGAAAGCCTTCAACTTAAGTAAAGCCCCTAAATTCACATCCGAAATTCGATACCAAGCAATCCCAATACACTCTAATCATAAGAAGCCCCAATGTTCAAGAACTTCAAGCTATAATATATAACATATTGCAGTGAATTATGACCAAGTTCAGAGCTTTTCAAGCTAAAACTGAATAAAAATTATACCTCTTGCAGCAAAGTTCCGTCGAGAGTATTGAAAATCCGAACAAGAGTCCCTTTATTGCTGGCGGTGGCGAGCAGCTGGCCGTCCGGCGTGAGTGCAAAGCAGGCAAGTCTGGAATCATGAGCCATGATGAACTTGGTCCGCTTCGACCCGTAATGCTCCACCCTAACCTGCCCCTTCTGCAGGCCAGGGCACACCAGCACCAGCGACCCCGCCACCTGCGACACCGCGCACAGCCCCTTGGGGTTCGCGATCGTCTCAATCTGGTGCAGCAGCTTCAAGTCGGCGAAATTGTACACGAATATCTTCTGCTCTAAAACGACGACGATTCGGTCCCTCCGGAGCCGCACGGACCGGATAACGGAGCGGAATGAGAGCTCCCCGATGCACCGCCCCTGGTGGTCGTCCCAGATCATGACTTTATTGGTCGGGTACTGAGGGTCGGGCCCACCGCCAACTATGGCCAAGATGTTGCAGCGAAATAGCATCTCGACGACGCCGATTCCGCCCCCGTTGTCGAAGTCACGGCGGAAGAGCTCGCGGAACGGGTCGCAGTTGTAGATCCGGAACCCGTGGTCTGTCCCCACGGCGAAGCAGGCCTGGTCTTGGTTAAAGCAGACGTGGAAGAGTGACGGAGGCGAGCGGGGCGCCGGAGGGGCAGACTCCGGGGGCGAGGAGGAGAGGGGAATGTTGTTGTGGAGGTTGTGGTCAGAGTTAGGGTTTGGGGGCGATTGGGGGTCGTGGTTGTCATCGCTGGAGTCAACGACAGAGGTAGGGTTGTCATCGGTAGGATCGGAGAGGAAGGCGGCGGCGGAGTTGGGGTCGGGCCAGGTGGTAGCCAAGGCGGAGAGGGTGGCCATGGGAGGAGGATCTCTGGGTGGTGGGATTTTTGAGGGGTACGTTTAGATGACAGGGAACTAGAAGAGGATAGGATGCGCTCGAATTCCTGTTTGAGCCTTTTCGGAATTGGGCAGAAAGGGGGAAACAGGAAGGGAGGTTTTGGTGGCAAATTTAGGGAGAAGAGAGGGGCAATATTGTCATTGTAAAAACACAGGCGAGTTTATTCGTTGATTGGAGTGCACGACAAAAGCGGGGATGTGTTTCGCGTCAAAACCACGGATGATGGGAAAGCACTCATATTTCGGGGGGTAAAATTGTAATTTAATGATGAAAAAGGGATTTCAAAAAACTGGGCGCCGTTGCCGGGGATCGAACCCGGGTCACCCGCGTGACAGGCGGGAATACTTACCACTATACTACAACGACCACAACGACCTTGTTGTTAATCGAACTAAATTAATCGTATTTAATAATTCATCTTTTGTATCCTCGATAAATAAATGCGGTTGCAAGACGATTTCTTAACCTTCCGACGCTAGACAACACTGCACATCCTCACAATAACATCTATTAAACTCTCAAGAACAAATATGTGATTGCATCCATGAGTGTATTCATGGAACGAATCTTTGAATTAAGATTACGTTTATGTTTCTTGATTATTGTATTTGGGTTGCAGATCAACCTCTCTTTGCTATGTACGATCATATACGATGCTTCTTCCGGTTTGAATAAAACACCTTCTCCATGGAGGGAAAAGAAACACGAGATGTTTGACTAAATGGAAAAGCCAACAAGAAATATGCTAAAAACTGCCAAATCCGTGGACAATCAATTCATTGATTTACAAATTCATCTGTTACTTAGCAGACAATCAACCCGTGGAAACATTAATGAATCGGGACCAGCTCTCATCAGAATTACAGGACCACTAGAGATTTTTTGACGATGAAGTGATCTTACCAATTGCAACCAGAAATCTCACCCACCAACCACTCATCCCACAAGTCTACCATTCATTTCAAAGACAAAATCCTTTTTCATCGCAAACTCTTGGATTGAAAATAACTGTCCATGTTGTTTCTTCATTCACCGCGTTCTTGGGGTTCCCTAGCCATTGGAGGCTCTGCACAAAATGTGCATCTTCACTCATCGTTTCTTAACAGAGCCGTGAGAAAAAGTGCACGTGCATTCACTCAGAAACATGCCGGAATAAGAACTTCTAGGAAATGATTATTAACATACCGTCACGCTGTTTCCAAAGGAGCAGAGGAAAACTTACAGCTTTGCATCCAAGTACCTTGAAGGAATTTTCACATCCATGCAGGTTGGTTCGTCTGAGGAGGTGTAAACACGAAACACTACATTCAAACCTCTTTGTTCAATTTGCTCCTATCCAAATAGTCTATGCGTGAAGAAATTAACGTAAAAACAAAATAATTGCGAGGCTTTTTTACTTTGGTTCGCTCCATTCTCGATATTCTTCAAGAATTCCATGACACTTTCTTTCTCACTCTGCGCAACCTGCTGCAGTCCCCCAAATAATCCAATTCTACAAAAGTGCCAGTTTATAACCACATTAAGAAATCAGTCTGGAATTCACTAAAGATCAACTGCACTTGTTTAACAGGATCGTACCATTTACCTGAATGGTTTAGGCACTGCAACAAGGTTCTGTCAATTAAAGCTTCCTGAAATCGATCCACCAATGTTTGCCTCTTTACCTCTGCTTTATCAAGCTTCAGAATTTGATCTTCGGCCTGCTAAAGAATATATGTTAAATACGGTACTGATTGGAACTGGAATAAGCCTATAAGGAAATGAGAACAGGGAGACACCTCGCTCTCACTTGGCGATCCAGGGCCTAAGTGCTCATGGGAGCTTTCACTGTCAATTACTTTATCTTCGAGTGAAGATACTATTTTCATAGCAGGTTGCACCCTTTTACATCTTTTTCTACGATACTGAAATAGAAACTAGATCAAACAGAGAACAGAAAGATGTAAATGAGAAAAGGAAGGGAAAAACATGTTCGAAGAGATAACCATTTTAGAAATTCCTCTCAGCATCGTTGTCTTATCCTGAAGGCCATACAAAAGCTCCGCCATTGACTGCTCAACAGATCCATGTCCAAGTTCATTGACTTCAATAGGCACAATCTCCAACTGATTTACCTCTTCTCCTTGAATATCCTCAATAAGCTCAGAATCCAAATATTCTTCGGTTCTAGGCTCAATTGTGTTCAACATGTCAGGCACTTGTTAAACCTCGAATGACACATTGTGTTCGTTCTTAGCTACAGAAATGCAAGAGGGTTATTCCTTGTGAGTCATGAAATGGAAGGAAAATCTTGGCTTGCCTTTGCTTTTGAGTCCTACAACAGTTGATTCTTAAGTTTAACAGAACACTACAGGTTGTGAGAATGTACACTAGATCAACGATTACCTTTACCTTTGGAAGATTTATTCACTTCCGAATAATCAAAATTTGACGATGAACACAACGCTTTTTCATTCAACCGCATGAGTGCCTCAGCTTCTTTACTCAATGCAGACCAAGTGTATGATTCGTCTTCTTTCTCACATCCAATGCAATGAATGTCATCCCTCTGAAATTTTTTAGCACCAAGTGTAACAGAAACTCTCGAACGCATGTTGTTCGCCTTTTCCAAAAACAGTTAACAAGCACATTACTCTTTGCATTAGAACAAAATACCGAAATAAGATATCTCTATATCCGAATGCACACTACCTCTTCTTCAGAGCTCACTTCATCTGCCAAGCTGCATGCATACGCATTAGCACCTGCATCCGAAAGAATTAAATAAACATCATTGTTGCTCAATAGAGCCTATGCCGGTTCAACCCAGGCAGCCATTTTCGAAAAAACACAACACCTATCAGCACTTCTAACCGTGACGAAAGGGGTAATTCCTCCTGTTTAGGAATATAATTATGGTTACTACACCATCTCTTCCTGCAACACAAGTTTCTACAGTAAAAGAAAAACATAGTAATTATAATAATTTATCTTTTGTACAGGACGATATTCTATCCTAAACAATTCTAATCTACGGAGAGGGAGATTTGATTCGAACTCGTTGCAAAGAAGCTGACACACTGCCTTAGCGAACTGGCCTAACTCACATTGCAGGGTAATACAACTAGCAAAGCAGTTCACATAATTTTCTCTGTACTTTCTCATATTTTCTTGGTATCCAAACACATTGTACCGATCTTTCGCCAATTACGACTACATAAACAATGCACATACATACAAATTAAATCAAGAACATTGAAGTTTAAAGCAAAATAAATATAAACATTAAAAAATAAATAAAAACCTTTTTCTTGGTGGAACCACCAATCGTAGTGCAATTGGGAAAATCTCGGTCCGATTCATCCTCATCTGCCCAGATGAACAACCAAAAAACACTTCAATCCAAGAATCCCAATTCAGAAAAACACAGATAAAATGCGAGAATCGAATCGAGGGAGCTTACCGGAAATGCTCCGATCAGAATCTGGAATTGTCTAAAAACAACGCATAGCACGGCGGCGGAGCTTATAAATCTTCAGAAACGGAGGAAATTGTGGGTTCAAAGGAAGAGGTTCGCCGACGGTGGGTTTTGCCGCCAAATTTGGTCGTGTGCAAGCAACACGTGTCCTATGTATGTTTTTGGAACATGATAGCTTAGGAGGCTGAGCAAATGATCCGCACCGTTGAAATTTGATTTAACGACTACAAACTGAAAATTCCTTAAAAATTATAATAATTCAAATTATTAGATCAAATTTCAACGATCTGTGTTATTTACTCAGAAATTCAACCTTCTATACTCAAGAGGAAATCCGGTTCCTATTTTTTTGTGTCGGCCCACTACCATTGTCCTCGTGGAGCGCGCACTAATTTTGAAAAAAGCTACCTCCTAAGCCTAGACCACTTTGCTGTCGCGCCACCCAGGACACATAACCACATCAGCCAATGAAACCAAAATCATCAAATCATTATCCAGGTAGTCTCCCAATCCCACGGTCCAGATCAAATATCAGATGAGTGCAGGTAGACTCTGTTTGACTCAATCATTTTGTCCCGCGCGATTCGAAATCCCGAAAGTTTCGATTTTTAAATATATCAGCAAGAAGAACACTGACAGAGTCGATTCGAGGGAGACGAAAAAGGGGATGAATCGGAGGGAGATGAAGGGAGCGCTACCGAGGCTTCAGCTAGGGGAAACCCACCATTCGGCGTTTTCCACGTCATCATCGAACCCCTCTCGCTTCCAGAACCTTCTGGAAGCCGGAGCTGCCGACGGCAACCTTCCCTCCTCCGCTCCTCTCGGCATCGACGTTGACCCCAGTTTCGACGACCGGGAGTTCATACTCAGCCAAGACTTCTTCTGGTAAGATCCTCCGCGTCATCAATTTTGTAAATTTTCAAGCTTTTTGGGATTTGAATTCGCAAAATGGATGAAAAATTGGATTTTTCTTGTTCTGGGTTTTGATTGATGTAGCACTCCCGATTATATCACACCGGATAATCAGCCTATGGTGAACGGCTGGGATTGCAGCAAGGTACAATGGATGGATTGGATTTTACAATTTGTGTAAAATTGAGGTTGGGTGTAAAGATTGTTGCCTTAATGTGTTTTGTTTCTATTTTTAGCTGGAAGATATCCCTTGCCCCAGATCACCGGAGAAGTCGAATACCGTTAAGTCGAAGAGGCGCAGGCAGGATCAGGGTAAGGCTAAAAGTTTGTCCTTTTTACTTTGTTACTACAAGTAAATTCTGATGAAAAACTACTTGGTAATTGGAATTGCTTGTAATAATCCGTACTTGATGCAGATGACATCTCATTGAATCCTCTCAGCCCTACGTTGTTCGGAAATGAGCCGGTAGTTGAGCTTGAGAAAGATGTTTTTGGCATGGATGAGGTTGTGATGGAGAAACCAACAGCAACAGAACCACGGAAGAAGCAAAATTATGTATCTCAATCTGCAGTGGCTTTACGCTGTCGTGTTATGCCTCCTCCGTGCTTGAAGAATCCTTATTTGAAGGATGCTTCAGAAATTGGCATTGATCCTTTTGGCAACCAAAGATCGAAGGGTATGCTTGTGTTAGTTGCCAATGAGACGTTATTTCAATATTAAGACAGTGGTAGAACCCTTTATTTCACTTTCAGTTTTCAAGTTCTAATTGTTAATGCTGCAATTTCCAGCTTTCTTCCCTGCATTTATGGGCGGAAATGGCCTTTCGCGTTACTGTGCTGATTTTCATGAGATTGAGGTACCTACCAAACTCGAAAAGTTTATGGATTTAAGCATAAATATTGCTTTCTAATTCGAAATTTTTATGTTGGTGCACTTGGCTAACGTGTTTGTAATTTGCCTTCTCTTTCTAGCAAATCGGCAGTGGGTACTTCAGTCATGTATTCAAAGTCTTGAACAGAATTGATGGTTGTTTGTATGCAGTGAAACGTAGCATGAAGCAGTTGCATCAGGATACAGAAAGGTTGCTTACTCATGCTCTAGATATATCTGCCATTCGTTGAAGCCATTTGCTTATGCATTTTATTACTTTTGTATCCTTTGCAGGAGAAAGGCTATGATGGAAGTTCAATCTTTGGCAGCTTTAGGTAGGTTTCCGTTGCTTCATCTGTTTGACTCTATGGCAATTGCTTTTATATGGTTTAACTGTTGTGCTTTATCTAGGGTCCCATGAAAACATTGTTGGATACTATTCGTCTTGGTTTGAAAATGAGCAGCTGCACATTCAGATGGAGTTATGTGATCACAGCCTATCCATCAACAAATTTTGCCGACCATTCAAAGAGGGGGAGATTTTAGAAGCCTTGTATCAGGTTTGTGTGGATGAGTTTTAACAAGCTTCTCACTTATAGAGTTATAGTAACCAATGTAATGTTTATTATAAATACGTACTAGCACCAAATCTTTTAGTAGACTGAATACCAAGCAGGGATCCGTTTTTACTACACTTGAGAAGCCAACAAAGTCTTCACTCATGAATGCTTACATTGAATCCTAATATTCAATGCTTATACTCCCCTCAATCATGAATTCTTGATTCCCGAAAATCTTAATATATTCGAGTGTGTGTGTGTGTGTGTGTTTTCCCCGTCTTTTGAGAGATATTATAACCTTTCCTTGACACTGTTTTAGATGTTCAATATTTGATGTTGAGCTCAGTCCCTCGCTTACTTGATTCTATAGAAAATACTATATGAAGGAAGATCACAGGGCTATTGTAAACTAGATGGAATGGGTTTAATCTAATGAATGTCCATATTCATATCGCAGACACTTTGGCATGCATGCACACTCACAGGCATTGACACATATCTGAGATCCTATCTGGCAGGCTGTAGTCTTAGATTAATTTGAACGCTTTTTAGCTTGACAATGTTTCATCTTCTGTTGGTATATGCTAATTTCTCATGTAAAAATATATATGTACAGATTTCAAAAGCGTTGCAGCTTATACACGGGCGAGGAATAGCTCACTTAGATGTAAAACCTGATAATATATATGTGAAGAATGGTGTTTATAAGCTTGGTGACTTTGGATGTGCAACTCTACTTGACAACAGCCTGCCAATTGAAGAGGGTGATGCTCGATATATGCCGCAAGAAATCCTGAATGAGAAATATGATGATCTTGATAAGGCCGATATCTTCTCCTTGGGAGTTGCTGTTTATGAGCTTATTAGAGGTTCACCTTTGCCAGAATCAGGACCTCAAATTTTAAATCTCAGGGAGGGAAAGTTGCCACTCCTTCCTGGTCATTCGTTGCAATTTCAGAACTTACTCAAGGTAACATCACCTTTTCCTTTCCATTAGTGGTTGGATTTTGTTTTCTGTGGCTGTGAACTTGTGACTGTTTCACTTTTGCTATTTCTATTTGTTGCAATTAATTTTCATGCGAGAATCACATCTCTTGTGCTGGATTATGAACTGCGAATCTTTGTTAAAGAAAATGGTATTCGTAGATGACTAATTTTCTAAGAAACCGGTTGCATTCTACACATAGCATCCTATGATCGTAGTTGATTTGTGCTACAATACGAACCCTGTGATAGCTTTGCTGATTGCATTACATTTTGATGAATCTCTCAGTTCATGTTGGATCCAAATCCAGTCTGGAGGCCGTCAGCGAAAGATTTGGTCGAAAATCCAATTTTTGACAAGGTGCGGCGAAATGGACGAGCCTAGGGCAACCACGATCGCCTTTGGAAGAGAATGGCATGTTGTATTCGCCATCCATATGCAGCATCAGCAGGCACTGCAAAACAGGAAAAGGAAAGTTTGTGAAGAATGACCAATTTTGTATCTATACGTTCTTCCTCTAATATATGCACCTAATTTTCCACTTGTGCGGTGCATATTCTGCGACTCGAGGAATTCTTGGTCATGTACTCATGGTTATGTGCTGCTAATGAAAAAGGTCTAATTCTCCCGGAATACACTTTGAACAGAGTTTTAATTCTCTTTTTACTCGTTCTTAGGGATGTTAATGTGCAAAGAATGAAGGATGTTTTACAGAGAAAAAGCCTTTGAATTTGTCAACAGGCGAGTTCCACACTTCGGAGTCTAAGGTCTTGTTCGGAAAGTAATTCTGCGAGGGCCTTAATCACTTATGGGAGAAGGATATGTGCTTCTCTATAAATCACTTTTGGTGATTTTGCTTGAAATCACGATGGCTAGTGATTTTAAGGAAAAGCATTTCTCATGAGCTGCTTCTAAGAGTCACTTTCGAATGACCCCATCGCCCATTGTAGCTAAATCATAAGGGGTATAACTGATAGCTACAACTTACAAATACATATATAAGATGGCACTAAACTAGGAGAAAAACTTCAATACAGGTGTTTGGACCACATGATGCTTCCGATTGCACATAAAAACACCTCTTCCCTAGGCAGATTTACCTACACACTACTACAAAAAACACTTTGCTCAACGGAATAAGATTTGTTGCGCAAAGTAAGATTTTGTCGCTTAAAACCTTGTGCGACAAAATTTTTGTCATGCAAAGGTCGGGATGATAGGGTTAGCGTGACAAATGTCGTGACGAAATATTGTCGTGCAAAGTTTTTTATTTTTTATTTTTTATTTAATTTAATTAATTTAATATTTTGCGTGACGAAATATTTGGTGCCGTAAAATTTTGGGCGACGAAAGTTTTTGGTTTTTTATTTTTTTATTTAATTAAATTGACTTTTTGTTTTATTATTTCTATTATTTAATTTAATTATAGTAATTGTTTGCGTGACAAAATATTTGGTAGTGCAAAATTTTTTGAATTTTTACTTTTTGAATTTAATTTAATTGTATGGTTTTATTTTTTAATTACTTTATTTAAATTGACACATTCAAAATAAAATTACATATGAAAAAATAGTGATCAAATTATTACAATAATAAAATCCTAATACAAGTCTATTGTGGTGGTGGCAGGGGATATAGTCCGATAGTGTCATAATCCTCAACTTCTCAACTTTCTCCGTCAAAGTCCCGATGATTCCCTACAAAAAAAGAAAGAACAAACATGGTCAAATAACAAAAAAAAACCATAAATAATACCAAAAAATGGGCATAACCTCCCCTAAAATCAACATACCCCAAAACCGACCCCAAACTCCACCCTTTACCCTATATCTAGCCCAAACCCAAAATTGACTCCAAAAACACATATTAATGAAAAATAAATTAAAATTTGGAGAGAAAATACCTTTTGGCAAGATTGAGAGTGAGTGAGAGATAGGGAGAGATAGGAGAGAGTGAGAAGAGATAGTGAGAGAGTGAGTGAGAGAGAGAGAGAGAGAGGAGAGATTGAGTGTGAGAGAGGGGGTCAGATTCGGGGAGAGGGAAAGAGAGGAGAGGTAAGAGAACTAGAAAGATACATTGAGAAAATTGTGGAGGAGTTACACTACTATAAAAGGGCCTTATAGTGTCAGTGTGATGTCGATTTAATATTATATAGTGGTGGATAAGACATTTGTGACACCTACTGAACATGACGTCGGATTTACTGTCGCTTATAAGCGTCATAAACTGTCTATGTCATTTTTAACCGACGTAAACATTTAACGTCGCTTATAACCGACATACATTTTAATAATTTTTAAATACTGGTGTCGCTTTAAATAAACAAGTGTCGCTTTTAAGCGACATAACGTATGGGTGTCACTTCTATCAGATGCTAATTATTGTTTTTAAATATTTTAAAGCCTGCATCGGTTTTGAGCAACATAAATTTTAGTTTTTTTAAATATTTTGAAACCCGGTGTTGGTTTTAGTCGACACTAATAATATTTTTAAGTATTTTAAAACCCAGTGTCGTTTTGTTATCTACCAATTCATATATACTTAAGTTAGAAAAATTTAAAAAGGCGGGTCACTAAACTTTTGAAAAATTTCAAACATTTTGAAATTTGAAAAGGACACTTTGGATGCGGTCCCTAGCTATCAATATTTTTTGATTGAAACCTTGTTAGTTTTTAGTTTTTGATTGAGGTCCTTGACATTAATGTAATAATGTAAGTTACTATATTTTTTAAATTAAAAATTAAAAATTGAAATTTGTAATTGTTTATATTAATGAGATTTTAAATAAAACCCATAATTTATGGGATTAAAAATAATAAAATATAAATTATACTCTCTATTATATTGTGTGTGTGTGTGTGTGTGTGTACATATATGTATGGGTACATTAACCAAAATTAACAAAAAAAGTTATTGTACCAAAACATGGATACATTCTCAAATCAACGAAAAAGAATGTACCCATATAAGTTTAAACATGGATTAAAAAATTTGAAAGGATTTTATATTAAAAAAAGGGTACATTTTACATATAACAAATTGATATATTTGAGAATGGGTACATTTAAGATTAAAAAAATTGAAAAATTATATGAATGGGTACATTTAAGATTAAAAAATTGAGAATCTTTTTATATATAAAAAAAGCTAATAGGTACAAACTTAATTTAATTTAATTTTTTATTATTTTGGAAATGTTTGAATTGAAAATTAATTAGAAGTTTAATAGAGGTGTGAGTATTAAACCCTAAATTAATTACTAATTTTTATATTGAAAAATTATATAATAAACATGTAAATTCATTATCACATTAATGTTAGGGACTTGAATCAAAATTTGAGAACTAATAAGGTCTTAGTCAATGAACAGTAAGAACTAAGGACCGGATACTAATTTTTCCAATTTGAAATTTTCACACCACTCCAGTAGACTCCTGCACAAAATTCTAAATATAAAGGAAGAGAACACAGCCCCTTAAGCAAAGCAGCTCATTCTTTGCTCCTCATTCGCAACCATAACAGCAGCAGCAGCAATCGCCATTTCAAATTCAACAGAGCCCAAACCGTGCTCCTGCCAGTCACGACGGAGGTCGTAGATCCCGAGTTTCAGAATTTACGCGGGGTCGCCGAGTTGAGGCAGATGACTGTCATTGGGAGCGTTGGGGGAGTCGTGGAAGAGACGGAAACGGTTAAAAGACGATCACCCGGATGCATCAATCTAGTCCGTTCAACCGCAAATCGGACAGTCAAAAGACGATCACCCATGTGCTGACAGCAACAGAAGTTGCGATGGCAGCAGTGGCCTCGGATCCTCCGCCTCGAGACGGTGGGCTGGTTGAGATGAGGGCGGATGTTGGAAAAGACGATGACCCAGGATCGTAGCAGCGGCCTGGAAAAAGGCGCAGTAGAATCGGCTAGAAATTTTTTTTTTGAAGAAGCAGCAGAATTGCAGAGAAGGAAGAAGAATTGAAGAGGAAGAAGCAGCAGTAGAACCACATAGGAAAAAGAAGAAGAAAGGTGTTGGGGGAGGATTCGGAGGATTTGAACAAAAGGAATTTGGAGAGGATCCAATCCCTGGCAATTCATTGAAAACGAATGCAGAGACAGATTTTGAAATATTTTTATTATTATTAACAAAGGTGGTGTCGGTTAAGACCATCACTAGTTTGCATAGTTTATTTATTTAATTGTTATCTGACGTCGCTTTAAACCGACATAATGTTGAAGTATATGTCGCTTTAACCGACGTCAACATCAATGTTGCTTTTAACCCCGTCGCTTAGTGGCGAATTAAGCGAACAAATCGACACTGAAGCCCTTTAGTGACGCTAGCAATGGTGTTGCTATTCCAATCCGCCATTACATTGTTTTATGTCGGATTTCTTGTCACTTTTTGGTTCGCCGGTGATAGCCTATATTGCAGTAGTGTTATTTTGGTTTTAAAAATCATATTACTTTGCGCAACGAAGGATACGATTTTGCGCAACGAAAAATTGGTCACGCAAAGTCTTTTAAAATTTTTTTTTTAAAAAATTCCCGCACCTCGTTTTTGGTCATGCAAAACTTTGTGTGATAAAAGATTAGTTGCGCAAAGTTTTAAAAAAATTAAAAAATTAAATTTCCCATGTCCCATTTTCGGCACCTGCCCAAATTTAACGATTTTGCGAGGCAAAATATTGGTTCGTTGGGCAAAATTTATAGAAATAAATTTTGTTATACAATTTAAAATATAAAGTTAAATAAAATAAACAGGATTTATGCGACAAAATATTAGTATTCGTCGCGCAAAGTTTAGAAAAAAATTTTAATTTTTTTTTACAATTTAAAATATAAATAAAATAAAATAAATAGGGTTTAGGTGGCGGAATGTTGATTCGTCGACGAAATATAAAATTAAATACAAATAAAATAAATAAGGTTTAGGCGACAAAATATTAATATTTGTCGCGCAAAGTTTTTAAAAAATAATAAAAATTATTTATTTTACAATTTAAAATATAAAATTGAATAAAAAAGAAAATAAATTGGGTTTAGGTGACGAAATATTTGGATTTTGTCCCGCAAAATTTTGAAATTTTTTTAAACATTTTGTTCGACGAAGTCTAAAATTTTGGTTGCACAAAGTCACTTTGCGTGACGATGTGTGTTTCGTCGCTGTTGAGCTATATATTTTCACAAACAAAATATATTAGCAAGTCTTAATAAAAATGGGGAGACTTCAAAATAATAATAGTAATAATAATAGAGTCCAAAATATGGACTGACTAGAAATAAGGCTCACTTTATGTGTGCGCGCGTATATATTCTTATATATACTATATTTATATAATATATATAAGAAATAAAGAGAGAAAAAAAAAACAACTCTACACCCGCACACGTGGACCTCAACATACACCAAGTCTGAAGGAGTTTGTCATCTACATGGCAACCGGGTATAGAGAACGTGTGTATCTAGAACCCTTTAAAACTCTCACGTTCTCCACTCAAGAGATGGTTTTCTCTCAGCATCTCCACACCCCAGAAAAGTTGCATCCCACTAACTTCAACTGCCATGTCCACTGTTCGCCTATAAAAAGGCATCGAACCAAAGCAAAGGGGGGGGGGGAGACAGAAAAAGAAGAGGATAGACTTTGCAGAAATTGAGAGACGACGGCGAAGAACGGACGACAAAGAAGAACAAAGCAAGAAAGTAGGGGGAAAAGTACACAACAGTAGAAGAAAAAAAAGCAAGAAAGGAGGAAGGTGTACACAAGGCAAAGAACATCAAAGTGTGCACACGACAAAGAACATCAAAATACCCAAAGGTATCAATCTTTATCTTTAATTTGTTCTTGGTTTGTGTATTGGGTGCAGCTTTTTGCAGAATGAATTAAAGGGGAACTGGGCTTTTCCTCTTTCATCGAAGCCAGAAAGATGGATGGGCAAATTTCCCCATGGCAGCCAAAAGATAAGAAAAGAAAAAAAATCTCTTCTCA